CATTCTAACTGGGGTGAAATGACATCTCGTTGTGGTTTTGATTTGCATTTCCCTGATGATTAGTGATGTTGAACATTTTTTCATATAGGGAGTTTTTCTTGTTATCTTTGGGGCTACAATGAAAAAAACGTGGACTCATTATAGCGCTTCGATGTTAACACAGCTAAGCAACACAGAGCACCAACCATATGCCAGATGCTACTGCAAGCACTTTACACGTATTAGCTCAATTCTCAAAGCAAACCTCATGAGGCATGTATTCATCATATTTTCATTTTAGAGATGAGGAAAGGAGGCACAGAAGAATAAAGTAAGGGGCCTGAAGTCACAGCTGGCGGTGATGGAGCAAGATTGGAAGGCAGCGGTCTCCTGACCCCACAGGCACACAGGTGGCTTAGACTGACCTAGAGGATCCCAGATTGATTAGTAGACCAGGGTAGAGGTGGAGACAGAATCCTCTTTCTTACCCGGACTGTCAATCAAGACGTGCTGCCCGCCCCTAGCCAAGGAAATGGGCACGTGACCCCAGCTGGCCAATTATGAGCTCTCCAAGGATTCTGAAGGGCTGGGCTTCTCCCTGGATGGGTAGGGGTGCTTCAGGTCAGTCTTTCCCTGGTTGACAGGGTTGCTGTCCTTCCCATCTGGGATCCCCCAGTCTCTTCCCACATGGTCCCTTTTGGCCATCATGGGTTCTGTTGTTTGCAACCAGAGACCCCTGCTTGAGGTTCCCTTCCTCCCCACCCAGGTATCTCCTAAGGGACAGTGCTCTCCCCCCCACCCCATGGATTGTTCATGATCTTGATGGGTGTGGATGGGTGCAAAAAAAGTGAGTCACTGAGGTCTCTAGTGATAGATCACAGGCTCTGTCCTTTCCCCTGTCCTGTTGATCATCATTTCCCCAATTTGGATTTAAAACACAGAAGGCCTGCTCATAAAATTTGCAGCTGTCACAGTGGCAGAATTAATGCTTTGTGCAACAGAAGTGGGACTCATACAACGCTTTCAAGACTAGACGGCTGGATGTGAGCCAAGAAGATGACATTTAACCAGCATAATATAAGGTCTTGCGTGTGCCTCCGAAGAATCCATTGTGCAAGTACGAGGGGAGGGAGAGTTGGTTGGACAGTAGCTCGTGGGAGAAAGCTCTCATGCATTTGCTATGAATAACGTGGCTGTTGGTAACACAAATGCCGCTAGTAATGCAGGCTGCATTACTAGAGATTAAGTGTCTAGAAAACTGGAGACAACAGTACCTTTCAACTTGGCAGTTGTTAGTCCAGACAGAGAGCAAGTTTCCAGTTCTGGGCCCCACACTTTAAGAGGGAGAAGGACAAATCACAGCGTATTTCAATAAGGGTGGCCCAGGTTATGGGGAAACCATAGCAACTTGATGCCATTGATTATAGCTCAGGGAACCATTGGGGAGCCAGGAGAGTCCCAGAGAAGAGGCCCCAAAGACATAGTATTAGGGACCAACTTTTGGAAATTACAGAAACACTTTAGTCAAGGCTCTGTGGGTAGCAAGTAACCGAAACCTATCAGAGCTCACTCAGCAAAAAGAGGAATTTACTCTAAGGGAACAGGTACATGTTAGGACCTGGAGGGCAGGAGGGGCAGCCTCAGGGATTGGAGCTGGGATCTGGGAAGAGGCAGGAACCAGGGCAGGCTGACTCTCCAACTCTTTTTCCTCTCTGCTCCCTCTCTTGCCACAAAACAACTTTCTCTGCTTCTCAGGGCACCGGACAGAAAATGCTGCCCAGGCCTGGGACTGTATGATCCCCCACTCCTACCCACAGCAGCTCCACTAATTGTTCAGGACTGAGGGGAGGACAGGGGTAGGGACAAGGAATGGGGCAGGGGCGAGGAAGCCAGGACGAGTCAGGAGAGATGGGCAGGGGCCAGACTGGCAGGGCCAATTCTCCAAGGTTAATGGAACAGACACCTGGGTGCCCCCTGCCCAGCATAAAGCTTGAATGTCACCAGAAGTAGTTGCCCTTCAAGGTCCCAGGTGTTCTGCCCATGTTCAGTCCCTCCCTTCCTCTCTCATAAATTAACTGCTCTGGGGATCTGGGGGTTCCTCATCCCCTTGCTTGCCTTTTTATTTATTTATTTTGAGACAGAGTCTCACTCTGTTGCCCGGGCTGGAGTGCCGTGGTGTCAGCTAGCTCATAGCAACCTCAAACTCCCGGGCTCAAGGGATCCACTTGCCTCTGCCTCCCAAGTAGCTAGCACTACAAGCCCATGCCGTGATGCCTGGCTCATTTTTCTATTTTTGGTAGAGACAGGGTCTGGCTCTTGCTCAAGCTGGTCTTGAACTCCTGAGCTCAAGTGATCCACCCGCCTCGGCCTCCCGGAGTGCTAGGATTACAGGTATGAGCCACCGTGCCCGGCCTCCCTTGCTTTTCTTTACAGGTTTATTACATATGTCTATCTGCCTAAGAAATGGAGGGTTCTCTTTTGCATGCCCATAGCTGCTTCTGCAATGGTGATTTTTTGCTGAGCATATGTTTGCAAGATGTTCACATGTTGATATGCATAGTTGAGAAATGCCAGGCTTGTCCAGGACCATGGGTCACCTTCAGGGGATGGAACAACAATAAGACCAGCATAGTGTCCATCCTGGGAATCCTGGCATAGCTCCCTCCCCAGACAACCTGGGCTGAAGAAGGAGAGAATGTGACAGGCTCCCTGAGGAGAAGGAAGAGATAGTCAATTGGTGGAAAACGCCCACCAAGAACCTTCTTGGGGAAGACTGGAACCTGTGTTCCCCAATCCCATGGCAAGGCCTGAGCCAGTGAAATACTTCTGCTGCCACCATCACTGTGACCTACTCATGTGTCCACATCCTGCAGGTGTATCCCCTGCCCAAGCCCCTGCTGGGCATGAGGCGAGACAGCCCCTGGTCACCAGGGCCCCTGGGCTGTGGGTACCTTGGGTAGCCTGGCAAAGACCATTTGGAATTTTGTGTCTGAGGTTTAAGCTAAGGGACAGAGGTGGACATCACAGCCTCTCCCCACCTTCTCTGAGCAGTTACTGAAAATGAGTTGCTCTCGACAGGTGCCATCTCACTGACTCCTCACAAGGCAACCCCTGAGTGCTATTTTACAGACGAGGAAACTGAGGCACTGAGTTGTCAGATGGCTTGCCCAAGGTTGTGGAGCTGGTAGTTGGCAGAGCCTGGGTTTAACCCTGTCCTGTGGCTCTAACACCCCATTCTCTGGGGCAGGAGCTCAGACTTAGTTTAGGGGTACGGGGAGGGCAAGGGAAGGTTGTTACATTGGAGCTAGATCTGAAGGCCAAGTCAGTCAGGAGGATGGGGAAGACCATCCGGCAGACAGTCCAGAGGAAACTGCACGGGCTGGGGGCAGTGGAGGTGGAGGGATGGAGAGAAGGGCAGTGGGAAGCAAGGTGGGGTGGGCAGGGCTAGGATGAGGCAGGAGAGGGGCATGGCACTGTGGCCCACGAGCCCCTGGCATTCATGGCTGGCAGTTCCAACTCCAGACTCCTGAGCCAGGCAGACAGCTTAGCCCCAGCTCCCCCCGAGTGGTCAGGTCTACCCAGACCAGTGGACAAGGTCTACCCAGAGGGCTCTGGGAGTGATGGGCTGGGCTGGAGAAGGTGGTTTTGGGCCCTCTGGGTAGAGCAGGAGCTATCAGGTGGCTGGAGAATGGGCCATAGCCAGGGGATGGGTGGTGGGTGGGCCCTGAGCAGGAGGGGCAGAGAGCCGGGGGAGCCCTGTCCCAGGTCTGGGTGTAGGGACAGCCTTATAGGCCCAGCTCAGATAGGTCCCTGAGGAGCCAACTCAGTGACCTGGGCCCTCTGGGAGCTGGGATGGGGTGGGACTGCCTCAAAGCTGCCATTGTCACCCCCTCTCCCGCCTGACTGTCTGGGACTTAAAATAGAGCAGGAGCACAGTGCATCTCGTGAGAAGAGTCTCTGGCAAAGGGGTCTGGGGGGAGGGGTGTGAGTCACCACTGGGAACCCTTGAGTTTGAAGCTCCCAAAGTCCAGCTGTCCCACCCTGCCCCAGGGAGCCTGGGGGGGGGGTCTCTGTTCCACCCTAGTCCTGCTGTGGGGGAGGGGAGACTGGGTCTTGGCCCCAGCTCTACCATGGAGGCCCTGGGTACTGGGCCAAGTCCTGCCCCTTTGGGACTTCAGTTTCCCAGATGCACTAGGAGTCAGAGGCCTCGACATCATCTGTGAGGCCCCTACAATTCATGGCAGGTAGCCCTAATATAGACCCCAGATTCAGACAGACAAGGGATGAAATCCCAGTCGTACTCCTACCAGCTGACTGACCTTGGGCAAGTTCCCCCAGCTCTCAGGGCCTCAGTTTCCTCATCTGTAAGATGCACAATGAAACCAAGGCCTGTGCTTTCCATGTTTCTAGTTGAGCTATCCAATAAATATCTTGAGAGCTCCTGAGGCCACCCTACACGGCTTCCACCCCATCCTCAGTCGGCACATTTTGTGCTGCTGGGAATATTAACAACAATTAAAACCACACTTTTTAATGTCCTGCTCTTTACACACACATCTCTGGCTTCCACAGCCTGGAGGGCAGAGGTGGCTGTCACCCAGCCCTCTCCTGGGACATCCTAAGTGTCACTTTGGCCACTGACAGAAGGGATCTTGGCCCCGCAGCAGGCCCTCTTGGGAATCCACCTGTGCCAGGCCCTGTGCTTGGCTCAGCCCTGGAGTCTTGTGGACAGGCTGGTCTTCCCGCTGTACAGGTGGGGAAATAGATTCGTCGTCAGGGGCCTGCGGACCCTTTGCAGACCGCCCGGCGCAGGCACGGGCCTGGCGCGCCCCCTAGCGGCCGCTCTGCCGCCGGAGCTGCCTGAGAGTGACCGGCAGTGGCTGGCGTGGAAGTCCCTTTTCTGAGCTGTCTGCAGTCCCGCTCGCAGCGGCTGCACCTCCCCTGAGCTGAGAGTCGTCTTGCTCTGGCTGTCTCTCCTTGCAGCTTCCTGGGGACCCCACCGCGGCTGCGCGCCCCGCCCCGATTACCATGGAGACCAGTTGTACACAGTTTTCCCTTCCCCTCTGTCCTGTCCCAAGGGAGCCCCACGGGGACCCGGGCAAGCTGGGCGCCCCATGAACATCGGGGCCCCAGAGACCCTGGCCGCGGGGAGAGTGAAATTCTTCGGCCGGCACCGCGGAGAGGTGAGGCCCAGCAGTGCCCCGACTCTGAGCTCCTGGTTCTGTGTAGTGGGGGTTCCAGTGTGCTCCCTGGGCTTCAGCTCTGGACCTTGAGTCTAGAATGTACTTTGTTAACCAAAGAAGGCTCAAAGCGAGGTCTAGACTCCAGGTCTGGCTTCCAGCTTCAGAATGAGTTCTGGGTTCTAAGCTCTGGTTCTAAAAAAGGCTCCAGAATCTGGACTCTGGCCAGGAGGGCTACAGTTCCTGGCTGACTCCAGTGCTTTTGGGCCCTGGCTCTAAAGTGAACTCAGGACTTAGAGATTTTGAACTCTCAGTTCTCAACTCCAGCTCTACAATGGGCTCCTGTCTCTGGAGTTCCAGGCTCTGGCTCCAGAGAGATTCCAGCCTGTGGCTTCCGGCTTAGGTTTTACAGGGCTCCAGAGAGTTCAGTGGTCCTGGGCTCTGGTTGTGGAGTGAGGCCTGAAGTCCAGGCTCCAACTCCAAGCTCTTGGGGCAGTGTTTAGGGCTGGCCCAGGATTCTGGAGTCAGGGATGAGCTGAGAGGTGTTTCTTGCCCCAGAAAAGGACTTTTGTGTTCTGCTTCCAGGTCAACTCCTCCGCCTTCTCCCCCGACGGCCAGACGCTGCTCACAGCCTCAGAGGATGGCTGTGTGTACGGCTGGGAGACCCAGAGCGGGCAGCTGCTGTGGAGGCTTGATGGCCACACAGGTGGGATCGGCAGCCTCGCTAGGGAGACAGATGCCCAAGGGTCTCTCTGGCATTTTGCAGAGCCTGCCACAATGCCCAGTGATGGGCTGGGCTTGGGTGCAGGACAGCCGGGGCAGGCCTAGGGCAGGAGAACAGGGACACAGGACACAGTACCTGGGGGCTGGGGCTTTGAGTCTTGACAGACCTGGACTCTGATCCTACTTTTTTCTTTTAAATTGTAGTAAAACAACACATATTTACAGTTTTAACCTTTTAAGTGTACAGTTCAGTAGTGTTAAGTACCTTCATGTTACTGTGCACACTATCTTGCAAAACTGAAGTAACCCAGTAAATAACCCAGTAAATAACTCCCTATTGCCCCTTCCCCACCCGCCGACAACCACTGTTCTACTTTTTGTCTCTATGAATTTGACTTCTCCAGATATCATATATAAGTAGAATCATACAGTATTTGTCTTTTAGTGACCAGCTTATTTCAGTTTGCCTAATGTCAAGGTTCAGCCATGTTGTACCTACCACTTTTTAAATTAAAAAAAAAAAAAAAATTTAGGGACGGGGCTTGCCTGCCCAGGCTGGTCTTGAACTCAAGTGATCCTCCTGCCACAGCCTCCTGCATTGCTGGAATTACAGGTGCAAGCCACTGAGCCTGGCTCCTACCACTTTTTTGACTGTGATCTTAGTCAAGTCCTGCCCCTTCTCTGAGCCATTTCTTCTGCTAGAGAATGGGGATAATAGTTGCTACCCTATAGGATGAGATAATCAAGTGAAGCGCCTAGCCCCAGTAAGGACCCAGTAGTTGTAACTATTACAATTATTGAGGGGAAAAACGGAAAAAAAAATATCTATCTATCTATCTATCTATCTATCTATCTATCTATCTATCTATCTATCTATCTAGCAATTCCAGGGCAGTCTGATTAATGCTATTCATAGTCAAAGTACACAGGCTGGGAGCTCAAAAGAGGTAACCAACCAAGCTGGGTTGTTGGGAGTTTCTGGGAGGTGCCTGCATTTGATTTGGGTATTGACAATTTTCCAGATGGGCAAATCAGGACTGAGTGTTCCCAGCTGGGAGCCCAGCCCCGGCCAAGGCATGGAAACCCAGACATTTGCAGGTGGCTGGAGTTTGGATGAGGGGAGGTGGGTGATGAGGCTGAAGAAATTAGGAGGGGCCGGTGAAGGGCCAGGGTGGAGGGCAGCGCCCCATCCCCTAACCATGGCTACCCACCCCAGGGCCTGTGAAGTTCTGCCGATTCTCCCCAGACGGCCGCCTCTTTGCCAGCACCTCCTGCGACTGCACCATCCGCCTGTGGGATGTAGCAGGAGCCAAGTGTCTGCAGGTCTTGAAAGGTGAGTGGGCCAGGAGGGACCGGGAGCTGAGCAGCCAGGCCCAAGCTCCTTTTCCAACCTTACTGCGTCCTTCCCCGCTTCCTCAAACCTGGGCTGGTCCCTGCAGGTCACCAACGGAGTGTGGAGACGGTCAGCTTCAGCCCTGACTCGAGGCAGCTAGCTTCAGGTGGCTGGGACAAGCATGTGATCATCTGGGAGGCGCAGGTACATGGAGTGGCCAGAGCCCGGCCAAGTCTGGGATCTGGAGGATCCCCACAGTCCTGCCCTCAAACCCTCTGTTGGTCCCCCACAGCCCATGCAAACACCAGGCATCCACAATACTCCACATCTGGCTGCAGCCACTTCTCTAGGCCTCCCTACACACAGCCTCATGCCTCACTTTGGCACACTAGGTCCCCCTGCCTGGACTGCCCTTGCTCACCTTCTGTCAGGGACTAGATGGCCTTCCCACATGCCATGTTGTCACATGACCCAGGTAGCCTAGCAGGGAGTGCCCGAGTCTGACCCCTGAGTGGCTGCCTTCTGCCACCTCCCAAAGCTCAGGGCTCCATTGTCTAGTCCGGCCAGATGCTGCGCCTCTTAGCTGGGCACCGTGACTCCATCCAGAGCAGTGACTTCTCACCCAGCGGGAACTGCCTGGTGAGCCTCACCTCTGCCCTGTCCCCAGTCTCCCCCTTGGAGCTGAGCAGCGGGAAGGGGAGGGGCTCAAGTCCAGTCTAGGCACTAGGAGGGTGGTCACTGCCTACAGGCCACTGGCTCCTGGGACTCCACCATACGCATCTGGGACCTGCGGGCACTTACCCCAGCAGTCTTCCACCAAGAACTAGAGGGCCACAGTGGCAACATCAGCTGCCTGTGCTACTCAGCGTCAGGCCTCCTGGTAAGCTGGGCTGGTCCCTTGCAGGCTACAAGATCTGTAAAAAAGGCCACTGGCCATTTGGGGGCTCAGTCAGCTTGCGGGCCCCATACCTAGGCAGGGGATCAGAGCTGTCTGCTGTTCAGGCATCTGGCTCCTGGGACAAGACTATCCACATCTGGAAACCCATGACCAGCAGCCCGCTTGTCCAACTCAAAGGCCATGTCACCTGGGTGAAGAGCATAGCCTTCTCCCCAGACGAGCAGCAGCTGGCCAGTGGTGGCTACTCCCACTCGGTAAGCCCACCCACCAGAGCCCTCAGCACTCCATTTCCAGAAATGCCCACATCCTCACCTGCCTATCAAGGAGGGAGAGGCCCCAGGTGCTGCCCTATGACCCAACTAGCCTCTGGCAAGAGGAAACTCCTGCATGCACTGAAATTTGTGCCAGACCCTAAGTGAAGCATTTCAAACAAATGAAAAACCCAGAGGCCTCCTGCCTCCCTCCCTGTTTCCAGGTCAAAGTCTGGGACTGCAACACAGGAAAGTGCCTCAAGACCTTGAAGGTAAGGCCGTGGGACAGCACCAAGGAGCTGTGGAAGCCCCTGCTCCCCCTACCGGAGAGAGACAGGACTTGCAAGCAGAACCCCATCCTGTGCTTTTTTTATTCCCCAGGGAATCCTGGATGTGGCCCACGCCTGTGCCTTCACCCGAGATGGACGACTCTTAGTGTCTGGAGCTGCTGATTAGACCAGAAGTCAAGCACCCTGCACGAACAAATCACCCAGGACCCCTCAAATGTACCACCACCACGGACAACCCTGTCCTACCAGCGCTACACAGGCGGAACCGTAACAGTGTCCAACAGGTCTCTGTGGCCAAGGCTGCCAAAGCCCCAAACCAGAGGAGCCAACAGCTGGGGCAGGACTCTTGCTCAGCCCCCAATCCCCTCTCCAGCCCCATCAGTGGAAAAATCAAGCAATGTCAGCCAGTTTCGTGTTTTTATTGATGCCAAGAGATCAGGCCTCAGGCCTTGACTGCATACTTCCGCAGTGGGTACAGCCGCTCCTTCCGCTGCTGCTTCTTTGTCTTCAGGTTCTCCTCGTGCTTGTTGAGCCGGCGGCGCATGGCACGTGTTTTCTTAGGCCGCAGATCCAGGGGCTTGTACTTCTTGCCCTAGGAGGCAGGCGGTAGAGGGATGTGAGGAGCTGCTGCAGTAGCTAAAGCAGCTTGGGAGGCCAGAACTAAGGCGCTGGGAGGGGCACTGGCAAGATGCCGAGAAATGCCAGGTGAGAGGGAGCAGCTGGGATGGGAAGGCGACTTGCAGGACATCCAGTCCCACAGTAGGGGGGCTGCCAGCACAGGACTGGCAGTCTGTAGGTCATACACTTTGCTCACTGGCTTATTTAATTCCCCCAAACCCAAGGCCGGTGGGCTGTCCCCATTGTATGTAAGTTTCTTGACTTATTGGGCCGAGGTGCCCAAATCTTAGCAAAGCTGGTGTAGAAAGAATCATGTGGCACCACCAAGTCCTGGGAGTGGTTACTGTTACCTTGGCTTTAAGTCACACAAGAGAATGTGTATGGGAGTTAAAGTCCTGCTCAGTTAATCTGGAGGTTTTGTCAGGTGTTGCCTATGATAACCCCGAGCCTCCTCCTCAGAGGATCCAGCTAGGCCAAGGTCATCCTGACATGAGGGGCAAGGCCCGGTCCCCTTTCCTGCCTTACTCCATTCGCCTCACTCCTGGCCAGAGCTGCCACACAGCCATCACCCGTCTCTTCAATCTTAACTCCCACTCCTCCCCAGGGAGGGGTCTGACCACAGCAGCTCACTATTGTTTGTTCTACAAAGTTCCCCCAGGCCCTCTTCAGGACAAGGCTCTGTGTCGGGTGCTGGCTTAGTAAGGAATCAGACCCAGTCCCTGCTCAAGGGGCTCCCAACACAATAGGGGAGACTAAACAGGTAACAAACGGCCCTTTGGTGCAGAAGAGATTCTGGGAGCTGACAGCATGGAGAAGCAGGCACAGGATAGACACTTGAGGAAGTGGAGAACCTGAGGCCACACAGCCTCTATACCAGGCCCCAGCAAGTGGGCAGAGAAGCATGGAATAGAAGCTGCCCAGGATGGTGAGGGCATGCTCTAGAGGAGACTTGGAGGCATGACAGTCTCTGTACCTCCACATCTGTTAGCATAGGTCAGGCCCTTGTCCTCTACAAATTTGCTAACCCCCTAGAGCTCTGCAGTCCAATATACCGGCCACTAGCTACATGTAGCTGTTTTCATTAAAAATTCAGTTCTTTAGTCACCGCAGCCACATTAAGTGCTCAACAGCCACGTGGCCAGCGGTTACAATTCCATCATCACAGAAAGTTCCACTGACTGAGAGGCACCTGGTACAGAAGGATGGGCACTCACTGGAGGATCACAAAGACAATTCTTCCTACCCACCACTTCTGCTGGTCCCCTCAAAACTGATGAAACTTTCAGACCCACTCCTCAGCAAAATGTTCTTACACACAAATGTGTACATATTCCAGTGGGGTGGCAGCCCCCCTGGCCTGCATGCTAGTATCCCCTGGGCAGCTAGCCTAGCCACACTATGATTGCTTTTTTCAATGCATCAAACATTCCAGTTATTCAAACGTTAATTTGGATATTGATGCAAAGCCACTTTGCAAATGTAATTAAAACCCGTGATCAGATGACGTTAATTAATGTAGATCGTCCTGGGTAATCTGGGCGGGTCTGAGCCAATCAGTTAAAAGCCTTAAAGCAGGACTGAAGCTCTCTTAGAAGAAATCCCACTTGGGGACAGCAGCTGCAACCTGTGTCACCAGCTCATGCCAGGCCCCACAATCACATAAACCAATTATGTATGTGCACACATAGTCTCCTACTCATTCTTGTTTGAACTCTGTTAACACTGATATTAAGGACAAGACCAGAAATGGTTGTCAAAAGACACTTGTGCAAATCTCCCAGGAGCACTCAATCCAGCCCTTGCCCAGACATGATTTAGAACTGAGGCCCATCACTCCATTGAGTGTAGATAACCCTAAATAACAGTCTCTAAGTCTCAGGGACCTCATCTGAAAAATGAGAACATCAGGTTTCTTGGCAGTGACTAACATATATATATATATATATATAGTAAGTGCTAGCAATAGATAGCTGAAACCTTTACACAGTTAACCCCATAAACTGCCCAAGCTCACTCAGCTGGGAAGGCTGGATTCAAACCCTAGTCTCCAGCTAAACTCCCAGCATGCCACTGACTTATCTGCAGCTCACAGTGCCACATGCCATGCAAGATGCTGGGAAAAGGGCAAACCCAGCCACAAGCTGGGAAAGCTGCGGGGAGCCCAACCACTGCCAGCCCAATGTACCCCAGCAAGAAAACCTCTTTCCTATATCCCCTGGCCAACTTGGCTTCCTGTAGCCAAATATAACCCCCAGACGCACCTTGTAGAACTTTCTGAGGTTTTCTTTCTGTGTCTGGTTAATTACAGTGAGAACACGGGCAATGGACTTGCGGACGACTCGGCTACAATACAAAAAAAGAAGTCAGTGAGGTGAGGCAGATCAGGAAAAGACCTTCAATCTCAAGCCAAAAATTTATCCTAAAACTATGAAGAGCCAACCAACGCCAATATGAATGAACTAACACAAAGGATCATGCAACAAACCAAGCAACCAGGCTGACATAAGAAATTGCAGGAGAGGCCAGTGAGGAGGGAGACACATTTGGGAAGCAGAAATGCTATCGGGGAGGAAGGCACTGAAGCTAGGAGCAGGCTTGGGAGAAGTTAACTTGTAGTCATGTTAAACGTGAGATATGCCAGGGGATGAAGGAAGGCCACTCAGCGGCTGACTGGACAACACGACTGTCCATGATTCAGTGTGCAACTCTGCTCACCTGTTTCCCAACTCGTGCAATCCTCCCACCCTACCCCCACAAGGTTGTTTTCAGGGTTGGCATTCATTTTATATTAGAGGGAAAAAACCTATGGAATGTCCAGTGCCATGGCTCACACCTGTAATCCCAGCTACTCAGGAGAACCAGGTGGGAGAATCACTTGAGGCCAGGAGTTCAAGACCTGGCCTTGACAAGGCAGGGCAACACAGTGAGACCCCCATCTCTACAAAGTATTTAAAAATTAGCTGGACATGGTGGCAGGTGCCTGTAGTCCCAGCTACTCGGGAGGCCGAGGCATGAAGATTGCTTGAACCCCGGAGTTTGAGGCTGCAGTGAGCTATGGTCATGTCACTGCACCCCAGCGTGGGTGACAGAGTGAGACCCTGTCACAAAAAAAATACAAAAAAACCTATGGGAACTAAACCAAGGTAGTGATCAACCAAGGTAGTGATCAGACAGTATGTGGCAGAAATGAATTTATACCCAAGTCAACTAACTCCAAACCCATGTTCCCTTCCCAAGTCTCCTTGACCCTCATCCATGTAAGTCAAAGTTACACTGCAGCTAAAGGATGAGGCACCCACCTACCAAATGAGAGAAGATGTAGAAAAGAGTCAACTAAGCGCTGGTGGGAAGATGGAAAGAAAGGGTCCAGGTAGGCTCTGAGGCAGGATTAAGAGGCGTTTACAGGGACACCCAGTTGTTTCTCCAGCTAAAAAATCCGAGCAAGGACACTCCAGGAAGGAGGACCGCAGGGTCAAAGGCAGGTAAGAGGGTAAGCACACAGCGGGGTGTCCACGTGACCCAAGCACGCACTGAGTGTGCACCTAAACGGACAAGTCCTTAAGCCAACTTCGAAAATCCAGACGCTCCCGATACACACAGGCTCCTACCCCCAGAGGCCTGTGATCCGGCCGCCCGTCTCTTACATCTTGGAGAGTTTGGACGCCGCACCGCCTGTCACTTTGGCGACACGAAGCTGGGACAACTCCACTTTCAGGTCGTCCAGCTGTTTCAGCAACTCCTCCTTCTTCTTGCCGCGAAGGTCCCGAGCCTTAATCTTGGCCTGTGTGCGAGGAAAGGTCTGGGTTAGCCAGCCTGCGGGTCCGGCTCCCCTCCACCCGCGCCATGGCCAGCCCCGGAAGGCGCGCGCCTCACCCCCGGCGGCCCGGCACCGCCCGCACCCCCAGGCAGGGTAACCGAGGCCCGCGGGCGCGCCCTCGCCCAGGCCGGCTACCAGGCAGAGCCGCTACCCGCACCGTGCACCCGCGAAGACGCGCGTCTCTCCTGGCCCAACCACAGAAGAGAAGACGGAAGGCGGGTTGTGGCGGCCCTGGGCCTTTCTGCGCGGCGCCTCCCGGCCCGGCCGACAGATGGGACCCGGGGGCTCAATCCGCGCCCCTGGCTCCAGTCCCCACACCCCACAGCGCACGGATGGCGTCAGATTCCCTCAGCCTCACCATTGCTACTCAGCCGCTACCGCCGCCGCCTGCTTTGAGGGAAAGAGGAAGAGGCGGGGCTGACCTCGGTAACTACTGCCGGGTGGCGGCGGACGCGGCCAATGGCGCCGCCCCTGCGGAGGGTCGCCGTGGTACGGCCTGTCCCGCCCCTCCCCGCCCCGAGGTGCTCGCCTTTTCCCAGGCTCGCTGGGCTGCTTGCTTAGGTCGGCGTTACTTCCTAAGCTGCTGAGTTGAGGGAACCAAGGTCGAGGGTGGGTGGCAGCTTACCAGGATGCCATAGTAAGGCCTCGAATTCGTCCATTCAGTCATTTATTCCTTCACTCATTCATTCGGGAAAGCTTGCAGATCTTCCAACCTGTGCTGTGTTGCTATGAGCTAGACGCAGGTGGTCTGAGGATGGTGAGTGGATGAGGGGGTGAGGGTTTTCAAAGATGAGTTCACGAGGTGGCGGGAGCGGGAGGGGCCATGCCAGACAGTTATAACCCAAATCCATAGAGGTTCTGGTGGAGGCAGCATGTGAAAAGAGCATTCATAGACTTTGAAAATTATTTTGAGATAGAGTCTCACTTTGTCGCCTGGGCTAGAGTGCAGTGGCGTCATCATAGCTCAC